ACAGTGGTCTGGAAGGGGAGGCCCGCCAGATGGACGCGGCGAGACAGGTCGAGGTAAGAGGGGCAGGACACAAGGACAAAGGTTCCCACCCAAACGCCACTTTCAAGACGCCACAATGGGGCGGGAGACGCCTGCTGGAGAAGAAGGTCAAACTTCTTCAGCGGTAGTTTCGGTTTGGGCTCTGCATTCCAGGACCACTTCAGGTCCCCCCAAGTACCCAGTGTTCCGAAACGGCCTCGTCACGGGAGCCGCGGCCTCGCAGCCTTGGATGAAAACACTGCTCTGAGGACCAAGGGGCCCAGACAGCCCCGCACGCCACAGGCTGGGGAGAGAGACGTGGGCCCTGCACCTCACTTGGCAGTGAGGGACAGGGCTCGCCGTGGGGGATTGTCCTCCTGCCTGGCCCCTGCCCCGGGGCGCTGCAGAGCACCCCCCCAAAGAAGGCCTCTGTGCTCAGGGACCACCAGCACGGCCACACCCGGGCTTGAGGTAAAGCTCCCGGGATCATTAATGATATCTAACATGAATGATGCTGATATAGAGCAGTATTGTGGAGACCAGCACGCTGCCACATAGAATGTTCTCTTGGCCCGACAAGGCAGGGTGGCTCAGGGACAGGTGTGGAGCAATCACCGGCCACGTGCTGGGCTGCACTTTTGCACCCAGAGGAACAGATGAGACGTTTTCCAGAGGAATGGAAATGTTTCATATAGTAAATCAAAGCTCTCTGCTTGGACATTTCATTTGAAAGACGGAAAGCATGGGCTCAGCCCTGACAGCAGCACACAGCACCCCCAAAACCGTTTCTCTAGGTGACACTTAACCGATAAACATCCTCGCGGGACAGATTCAACTGGGTGTGCAGGGGGCAACCATGGCCCGTGACAGTGACCAGCCAGGGAGGGGAGCAGATGAGGTTCAGTGTAACTCCAGCTGTGGGCCTTCCCACCCCCAGAGAAGGACACCAGGGAACCCGCCTTTAGCTCGGGCATCAGGAAATGTGGCAGAGAACCAGCCTGAGCTGCATCAATTCCTTCAAAAGCCCACAGGGTACTCCTACCGGCCAAAGAACCGCAGACGGGAGAGCACGACGGAGCGCCGGCGCATGGCACTTCGATTCTCCTCGGTGAGAGCAGAGCTGTCCCTGGGGCCCACACGGCTCAGAGAAGGAAGCAAAGGCAGCTTCCCGCCAAGGGAGACCCCTTGGGAAGGAGAAGCGTTAGCAGTGAAGGAGGGATGTCCACCAGGGGCCAGAGTGTGGCCAGGCTGCAGGTAGAGAATTGTTTGCAGAGCATGCACAGCTTTCGTGAAGTAAAAGAAGTTTATTTGGGAAATGAGAGGAAGAGAGAGGAGAGAAAGAGAGGGAGAGGTGAGAGAGAAGAGAGAGGAGAGGAGAGAGAGAGAGGGGAGAGAGAGAAAGAGAGGAGAATGAGAAGAGAGAGAAGAAAGGAGAAGAGAGAAAAGAAGAAGGAAGGAAGGAAGGAAGGAAGGAAGGTAGGTAGAAGAGATAGAGGGGAGAGACAGAGAGACAGAAAGACAGAGAGAGACAGAGAGACAAAGAGAGAGACAGAGAGAGAGAGAGAGAGAGAGAGAGAGAGAGAGAGAGAGAGAGAGAGAGAGAATTGCTCAGAAGAGAACACGGCTTCTCCAGAAGCAAAGCCGGGTCCCAGGCAGGACAGGGTTGCTCCCCAGCATGGGGCCATGAGCGCTGAGGAGGGGTGCAGTTCTTCAGGCCATGTGGGCAAATGCACCCTAAGCAGGTGAGAAGATGTGGATAGATGGGACCAGGAGGCCCAGTAGAGCTTTTACACATGAATCCCACAGATGCCAGCGCTTTGGCACAAAGGTGGGCATGGGTAGGTGAGTAGTTGCTGCAGGCATGGGAGGGACCACAGGGAAGGAAACTGGATCAAGAGCAAGGGATCCCCGAGGGGGGTTGCTATCTGCTCGAAGCCTCTCCCCAGTCAGTGTGAGGGTGAGGAATGGATTACAAGGCATCACCTCCCAACACAGGGCCACTGGGCAACAGATAGGCAAGCCCAGGTCATCAGAACATGGCAGACTTTCAGCACACAGAGCTCAGCGTGAGACACAACAATCTTCACACACCTTCCTCTAAGGAAAAATTCTGGATCATTTTTATTGGATTATTCATAACAAGCAATACAAAATAAATTATTTAGGACCTGCTTTGGGGAAAGGCTTGGGTGATGGTGGGAAAGTTCAAAATAAAGATGGTGGGAAGGTGTCATGGTGGTGGCATTGGTGCTGGAATATTGAATTAATGAATTATTATGAACAACTTTTTAAAAATTTAGTTTAATTTGAAAAAAAAAATGAACATTCAGAGCTCTATCTGCTCCAAGGACATGAGCAGATGCAGAGGAGCGAAATGGGGCCGGGGTCTGCCCAGGGCGGCCTGGCCTACTGGGTGACACCCTCAGCCTCAGCCTGTGTGGCTCCATGGCTGCTCCCAGGGCCTCTCCACGCGGGGAGCAAGTGCATAGCATCACCTTGGTGCCGCCATGGGACTGCCTGATCCCATGGGCACAACCCAAACATCCCACAAATGCGCGGACAGGTAGGAGACCCTCAGCAGTGTCTGCACCTGCGGGGGAGCAGGCAGCGGGGCAGGGGGCTCTGTGCCCAGCAGGACGGACACACAGCACTGCCACCCATCAGCGCTCTGCCATCTCCTGATTTGGGCTCTATAAACTTTTTTTCCACTTTCCTATTCACTTAAGTTTCATTGTGAGCTCAGGTAAACCCTCATGCAAATCCAGCATTTACTGATGAAAAACCCTGTAAATTCTAAAGCAGGCTTCCAGGACCCCACATTTGACCCCGGTCCCACTGAGGACACTGGGCTCCAGAGCGTGGCCTATCCCATGACTCTGCGTGCGGCCCTGGGGGAAACACCCCAAGCGCCTCTGAAGTGGCAGTTGGTTCATTTTGCTTTGGGCCACACCTGGTGGTGCTGCTAGGGCACCGAGTGGGAGCATGGAAAGCCTGCATGTCCCAAGGGAGAAGCTGTGGGGGGAAAAGGCCAGACGAGGCCAGGACACGCCTCCAGTGAGGCCCAGAGGCCAGGCCATGGGGTTTAGGACATTCAAGAGCCTGCACCAGGCCCAGCTCGTCAGAAGGCCCCAATGCTCCCCCTGGTGTGCCTCTCCCCGACAAACTCCTCTGCTGAGCAAAGCGAGACAGCGAGGCTGGAGGCTCCTGAGGACACTCGGATCACTCGATTCTGGAAATAGGACATGTGCCCAAGGGTCAGACTCGGGGCTTCTTGTTGGGCCCCATAGTCCCTCTGCCCACACTGTCTGCTACAAGACTAAGGTGGCCGGGGGCCTTGGATCGAAAGAGATGCCCGTCCCTGGACTCAAACACTTGGCAGATTATTGCCACAGAGAACTTGGGGCCCATTATCCTGGTGGGAAACGTCCCCCGGGTCTAGAGAACAGTGACTGCACTCAGGCCGCCCCAACCTGCACCCGCGTGTCCAGCACCAGGGACAGTCCTGGTCCCACTCAGAGGCTGACACCCATGCAGAGCAGCACAGGAGAGGATGGACGGCTTCTCCAGCACACAGCTCCAAGTTTTCCCACCCTCCCGACATCCTGCTGAAGCCCCAGCCTGTGGCGCGTGAACTGAGAGTGAACAGGCTTCCCGCCTAGCTTTCCTCCTGTCTTCGACTCGGTTATTGGTTCGTGACGGCTGCAACAGCTGCGGGGGTGGAGAGGCGACACATGGGAGACCAGTGCTACCAAACGCTCCGACACTCGCCACAGGAAGTCAGCAGTCAGGGAACCGTGGAACGCTGGGAGTGGGCTCCGCCTCAGCTCCCGGGCCCTGCAGGGCTCCCACTTGCTCGCACTCAGAGCAGCAGACGGAGTTGGGTCCAAACAGAGCAGAGTTCCGTGGGCCGGGCTGGGGGAGACCACGGCTAACGCCGCCTGCAGAGACACGTTTCCCCCGATGCCGCATCCTGCACACCCCCACACGGGCACCCTCCTCCCATCCCCATGCTCTGCAACCAGCCCAGCCTGGTGAGGCACCTACTGCCTCTCCTCTCCCTCCACTCGTGTGTCCTCAGATAGAGGAGTCACCAGGGGACATCCTCGCCATTTTTGGCGGACTCACCAGTCCTGGGACTGGGGAGCTGGGCCCTGAGAACGTTCCCTTCGCCCTCTAGGTCTGACGGCCCTTCTGGTACCACACCTGGGGCAAACCTGCCACAGCCCGCCGGGTACCACTGAGCTTTCCTACCTTCTTCCTCAGGCACTGAGCCGGGAATAACCCCTGAGCACCTTCGGTCTCTGATGGATGGTTCAGAGGCCATCTTCCCCCACCCTGCCAAGCTCCACGCTCTAGAGAAGCCCAACCACGCACTTCATCACTTGTAGATTTGTTTCATAGAAGAAGTGAGATCAAATTTTGAGACCCAGATACCCAATTCTGGCCACACATTTCTCCAATGGCTCCAATGACAAAGCTCTGAGCAAGCACTGTATATCATGAAAATATCCTGTTGTGACCCAGAGGAGAAAATGCACCAGAGTTTTGACTTGGCCCCTCTTACGGAATGCTGAGGGCACGCCTGACAAAGACCACACTTTCCTTCTCCCTCAGCTGCCACTCCGCTATCCTGGGTGGTCCGTTTCGAACCAGCCAATGCCACATTTCCCAAAGCTCCACAAAAACAGCTACTCTAGCAATAGCCAAGCATTGGAGAGGAGGATTTTATACGTGCTATAAGGTTGGTGCTTATTTAGTGTAAATACAGTCTAGACTCATTATCCTAGCATCTCAGAGCCCGGAGCAAAGCAAGAGAAGCCTGGGAGAGAGCAGAGCACAGGAGGCGAGGGAGCCGCCCTGGAGACTGTGGGGTGGGCACGGACCACCCCCAGGCAGAGGCTGTGCTGCTGCCGGGCTCCTGCCCCACCGCCCCAAGCTCTGCGCAGTTGGGAGGACGCGGGGTCCCGGGGAGGGATACTCACGCTGACACTGTCCCCAGGACTGGCGGGCCCAGCCCCAGCAGCAGTCGATCCGGCCCCCGTAACGACACAGGCCGACCGAGGACACGATCTGCCGGGGCCACCTACCAACAGAGAGAGGCTGGGTCAGTCAAGGTGATCCGAAACCACACGTGAACCAGTGTGTGAGGCTACAGGCACGTGGACGCCACTGGAGATTTGCCACGAACATCGGGCCTGCAGACAGCGCAGGGCAGGTGTTCAAGGGACAGCCTCACCTCCAGGCCTGGGCCAGCCCCAAACCAACACCTGGCAGCAGGGCCCGCAAGACCCTCGCCACCCGGAACACAGCCACCCCCTCAGCCAATCTCTGCAGCCTCAAACACCCACTCCTTTGGGCTGGAGCAGTAGCACAGTGGGGAGGGCGTTTGCCTTGCATGCGGTTGATCAGGGTTCAATTCCCAGCATCCCATATGGTCCCCTGAGTACAGAGCCAGGAGGAACCCCTATGCATCGCTGGGTGTGACCCAAAAAGCAAAAAATTAAACAAATAAAGACCCACCCTTGTTCTTGCATGGTGAGCCCCTTCTGATGGACTCCACATTGACTGAAACAGGTCATTTTTTTTTAATGAATGTATTTTATTTATTTGTTAATTTTTCATGTTTAGGTGATAAGGTTACACTAGCATTCAAATTTCTAGAATCCAGGTACAGAGTGACTGAACATCACTCCTCTCATGCCCACTTCCCGCCCATGCCCACTCAGACCTGGTTCCCTCCCAGCCCCGTCCCTTGTGATACTGGAGAGTTATTTGGCACAGCCTGGTACCTGCTTTAGCACCGCTGTGCTGGGGCACGGGGAGACGCAGGAAAGGCAGCCTGTCTTGCAGAAGGGGCGGGCGGGCAAAGGAAGCAGGAGTCCAGCGGGGCAGACTTCTCTGGCGAGTACCGGGCAGTGTAAAACTCAGCCAGCGGCCCCAGGTCCCTGACTCCTGATATCCCCTTTCCCATCTGCCTGGGTCTCCGACCACACCCTCTGGTGCTCGGGAATCACTCCGGGTGGTACTGGGGATCAAACGCCCACAGGTGGGCCACGGGCCCCATCCCTGGTCAGCGGGCTGCACCCAGGCCCCACCGGGTCTCCTTCGTGGGCAACCTCCTCTGGCTTAGGGTCACAGGGCCGCGACCCGCCAGGACCAGCAGCATTACCTGGGGGCTGCTTCACGCCCCCGCTGGGCCCGCGGCACAGTGCCCGGGGATCTCCGGACGCATCGCCGCAGGGAGGGCGCAGGGGGTGGAGGCCAGCCCGCCGCGGTCTCTTTGCCTCCCGCGTGCCTCCCCGCCCTCGGGCTCCAAGCACAAAAAGTATCCCGAACTTTCTGCTTCCTGCCACAGCTGGGGAGCAGCGGCGGCGCGTTTCCCGGCCCTGGCCCCTCCCCCGCGGCAGGAAGCCGATCAATCGCGCGATCGATTGGTTCCAGGGCTGCAGGGGAAACAGGTGCGCCGGGCTTCCTGCGGGGCGCGGGGAGCCCTCTCCGGCCGGCCCATGGCTCGGGACCGGGTCCCGGGGCGCACTCGCCCCGGTGAGTGACAGCTGAGCCCGCGCCCGGGGGCCGGGACCTGTCAGAGCACGTCGCGGCCGGGCACTGGGCGCGCACCCGGCCCCCCACCTGCGGTGCCCGTCTGAGCGGCCCCCACAGGTGCTCCCAGACAGGCCCCAGCCCCCATCCCCCCAGACGCCTCCCATCCGGGCGTGGCCGGGCCGAGGGGGCGCCGCGGCCTCCCACGGCTCCAGCGGGAGCTTGGGCTTGAACCTCTCGGGGCACCCTGGGGCGCAGGGCGCGGCCACCCCGCGCAGAGACGGGACCCGGGGGCTGCAGGGGGCGAGGCGGGGGTCCCGAGACGGCGAGCGCGCGGCGCCCTCCGGGTCGGTTGGGGGGCGAGGGGGCCCCCGGGGCGACGGGCGAGCCCGAGCCCTCCAGGTAGGATGCGGGCTAGGGTACCCCGGGCCCGCGGGCAGCGCGCACTGAGCCCCGCCAGATAGGCGGGGCGCGAAGGGACCCCCGGGCCCGCGGGCAGCGCGCGTCCCAAGGCCGGGTCGGAAGGGGGCGAGGGGACCCCCGGCACGGCGGACAGCGCGCACTGAGCCCCGCCGGATCGGAGGGGGTTACGGGGACCCTCAGGACGACGTGCAGCGCGCGTTCCCTCCCCGGATCGGAGGAGGGCAAGGGGACCCCCAGGGTGGCGGGTAGCGCGCGTCCCCCCGCCAGGTCGGAGGGGGCGCTGGGACCCCGGACCCGAGGGCAGATCGCGTTCCCAGACCGGATCGGAGTGGGTGCAAGGACCCCCGGGGCGGCGGGCAGCGCGTGTCCCCGCCAGGTGGGAGGGGGCTTGGGGACCCCGGGCCGCACTCACCGCCCGTCGAAGTCGGCGCGGGCGCGCAGGCAGAGCGCGGCGGCCAGCAGCGCCAGGAGGCCCCCCATGTCGGGGAGAGCGCGCGGGGCTCCGGTGGCGGCCGCGGCTGCTGCTGCCACTCTGGGCGGAGCCGGCGCCGCGCCCGGACCCCTCGGCCCCCGCCCGCGAGGGGCGGCGCCGCTGGGGGAGCGGCCGCGGGGGGGCGCGGGGCCCGGCGGGAAGCGGGGGCGCGGCCAGGCCGGCGGCGCGGGGTGCGGGGCCGGTGAGGTGCGCGCGACGCCTCGACAGGTGCCGGCCGGCCGGGGGCGCCGCAGAGCACAGCCACCGAGGGGCCTGGACCCAGCAGCCGTGCCCCGACCCGGTGGAGACCACCCAGAACCCGCGGCCGCCCTCCCTCCACAACCCCTCCCCCCCCCTCCAGGAGTCTCCAGCGCCCAGAGCATTGGCGGCCTTGAAGGACCCTGGGCACCCGACCCTCACCCTTGGGCGCTGGTCACTCAACCCCCTCCCCAGCTTAGGGCCACTGGCTGCCTCCGACCCTGCGTGCTGGGAGCGGGGGCGACTCCCGCATGCCCACCCCCCCCACCCCCCGGGGACGCTGCCGGCTGGGCCACACTGCTCGCTGCCCACTGCACGAGGCTGGCCTTTCTCTAACCGTGCCGCCCACTTTGGTGGCATCCTGTGGCCTGTCATCGAACTGGTCACCTTGCAGACCTCCCCCTGCACCACCACCACCCCCCAAAAGAAACACCCCATCTTTATTTTCTTTGCCAGCCGGGGCGGGCGAGGGGGAGAAGTTCCTTGAGATTAACGTAAAGTTCTGTGGTGCAGTGACCCCCACAGGACCTCTGAGAGTATCTGAAAATGGGACTTTTGTAAGAAAATTGCTGGGGCTGGGGCAGGGGCCCGGGGCTGGGGTGGGGGGGGGGGGGTCGCAGATTACCGTTTCAACTTAAATGACTTTTCGATTTCCAAGTTGTTTTCTGCTAGCAAAACATGTTTCTATTTTAATCTCAGGAAATGTTCATGCCAATTCAGGCTCAGGACATTATTTTAGGCAAACAGCTTGGTGTCATCCATTTCAGATCTTCAAGTGAAGCCCAAATATGTAGGAGTCAAAATATTTTTTTTTATTTTGCAAAACTCACATTTTTATTAAGCATAGTGCAGACTGGCGTCCAGGGCCCACTCCTTCGCCACTTCGCCACCTTCTCTGTCCCCTGGCTCCGGGGCTGGGCTTGCAAATGGCGGAGCACAGCAGCCAGGGCTCTGGAGAAGACGTTAACCTGCAGGCTAACCTGCTCCGCCCCTCTCCTACCCAGCTGTACTTTGGCTCAGAAAATGCCCCTTCTTTCCTTCAGGGGTGTGCTGTCCGTGGCCTTTCATGGCAGGATGTGAAGACGGGACAGATACCCACAGTGAGAGCCCAGCTGAAGCCCGGGTACCCAGTGCAATCCTCAGACCCAAGGACCTGGCGAGTCTGAGGGCCTGGGAGACGGTCGCTTCCTCCGTATTTCTCTTTCCCACGTCGCTCTGCTGCTGCTGGGCTGACCCAGGGCCACACAGGCCTGGAGGGGCTGTGGGGGGGGGGGGTTCACCTGGCTGGGGGGCTTGGCCAGATGCCACCTGTGCCCACACAGGACACACTCTTTTTGGGGTACTTGTGCTCATGCTGAGGGGGCTGCCTGATGCCCCCACACGTGTCCCAGGGGTCACCCTCCATCTGCGATGCCCGCATGCTTCAGTGGCGGTGCCAGTACAGACCCCAGGCTGCAAGGACTGTGTCAGCTCTGGGGACACCACCACGGGGCACTCGCTGACCACTGACCCCTGACATGAGACACTCAGCAACCACTGTCTGTTACTTATAAGACCACACAAGAATTAATGCTCTGAATTTTCCTTGAGTGTAACTGCAGCCCTATCCTGAGGATTTCAACACAAAGCGTTTCTAACCCTTGATTTCTGTCGTTATTTCTAACTTTTTATTTGACCTGAGTGGCTGGAGCAATAGCGCAGCGGTAAGGTGTTTGCCTTGCGTGCAGCCAGCCCAGCCAAGCCAGGTTTGACTTCCCCACCCCTCTCTGAGAGCCTGGCAAGCTTCGGAGAGTATCTCACCCACACGGCAAAGCCTGGCAAGCTACCCGTGACATATTCAATATGCCAAACACAGTAACAAGAAGTCTCAAAATGGAGACGTTACTGGGCCTGCTTGAGCAAATCGATGAACAATGGGAGGACAGTGACAGTTATATTTGACCTGAATCCTGAATCCAACTCCTGCAGTGCTGTTTCTGCTCATTCAATCGGCCCATCTGCATGCCATACCCCTGAGAGCACCCCCTCCCATCAGCCTAACCACATGATGTACCCCCGAGAGCACTCCCTTCCTAGACTTCACAGAGCCCTCTGTGATTGCCCATTTTCTCCCCTCTGGAGAGGGGATCCCCACAAGGCTCAGGGGGCTCAGGGCGGGTTCCAGACACTGTGGTGCTGGATTACCTGGGTCTCCAGGCGGTGCTGGCTGAGAGTGATTCCAGCCACGCCCATCCCAGGTGACCAAATGCCTGGGTTCGAAGCTGGGCCAGGCACCTGCATGTACCTTTGCACCACCCCTGCCCCTGCCCTTCCCTCTTTTTAAAGGTCCCAGCGAACTGTGGGTCGTGGAACCTGTCGCCTGGGGTCCTTGTGGGGGTCTTCTCCTGGCCCGTGCCCCACCCCCACCCTTTCCTGCTCTGCTGCCTCCTTGCCTGGTCCCTGCTCCCCAGACCCTCCCAAACAGGGTGTACTGGGGCTAGGGGCGCGTCTTTTGCCCACTTCTCTCCGCTGCCTCATCCCTCCCCCAGGGCAGGAGCGGGACCCCTCGGGTTCCAGCTCCAGACCCCAGGGCTGCAGCTCCTGTCCTGTGCCCAGCCAGGCCCACCCGTCCAGGGAGGCCTCACGCCACTGCCCTGTCAGGAGACAGAGCCACCCCCCGCCTCTGTGGGGGAGAGGAGAGGCTGCAACTCAGCCTCCCCAGCTGCCGCACAGGGGGGCAGCACGGGGGAGACAGTGGATCAAAGCACAGTGCCCCTATGGTAGTGTTCGCAGAACTTACACCGTCCCCACCGCGTGTCCAGAAGCCGTGAGCGTGGAGCTCTGTCCTGCCTGGGGAACGCAAATGCTCATGAGCTTACACTGAACCGTCCCTGTCAGGGCCCAGGAGGTGTTGCTGTGGACCGAGGCCGAGTCCCAGTCTGGCCCAGCTTGGTCCAGTGTCTCAGAGCCTGCGTGCAGCGCCTGCAGTGTCCAGTCTGTCTACAATCACGACAAAGCTGCCAACAGGGAAGGGCAGGGGACGCTGTTGCCTCAAAGACATTCCTCGACGTGTGTTTGGCCAAGGATTGTCAGAACACAAACCTATACTTGGTTTTCTTTTGTTTTTTTGTTTTTAATATTTTGGCTTTCTGGGTCACACCTGGCAATGCTCAGGGGTTCCTCCTGGCTCTGTACTCAGGAATTACTCCTGGCAGTGCTCAAGGGACCCTATGGGATGCTGGGAATCGAAAATGGGTCGGTCATGTGCCAGGCAAACGCCCTCCCTGCTGCCCTATTGCTCTGGCCTTTTACTTGGGATTTTTTTCTCTCGTGGACAGGGTTTTGGGGGAACGGTTTTCCCCCAACATGTCCGGACACGCACACCAGGTCTGGGTAGATGTAGGGCAAAGGATGACGGGCGTGCGGAGAAAAACCCTCCAGGAGCAGCTGTGGACTGTGCCCCCAAGTGTGTTCGGGGAATCCCCATAGCGACTCTTTGCCACCTGGCCAGTGGTTCCATCCAGATTGCTCCAGACCTGCAGTGCTGGGGAGGGCGAGACTCCAGGGATAGTCGGGAATTCTTGGAACTCACCCCACTACAGCTGGTAAATGGTAGATCTGGGGAGGAATTTCCCAGGCATATGGCCCCTGTGACCCACAGGATATTCTAGGGGCCCAGGTGGTCCGAGAGAGACGAGTGACTTACCTGAGGGCCAGGTCTGGGCTGGTTCAGGTCTGTGCCTCCAGCTATGCGTGTGTCTCGTGCCTGAGTGCGCCACAGTCTGGCTCTGTGACCAGGCAGAAGGAAGAGGTACGTTTCTCGGAGCAGGGTTCAAGGGAAAGCCCGAGTGTATTTGCGTGCCAGGAGTGTTCTGGTCGGAGGACCAGCGAGCCTGGCCCTTGAGGACACTCCCTTAGCTAGAGGCTCTGAGCAGTGAACACCTTAGGTTTGCTTCTGGTTTGGGGCTACTCTGGGCTGCGCACTTGGGGGGTGAGGTGCCCCCCCTCCCGCCTCCAGCTGCAGGTGTGAATCCCTACAGGCCTGGTAAGAACAATAGAAACTGAAGAAAGTGCCTCTTTGTCCTCCTGCTTCCGGCTCTAAGATGCAGAGGCAGCTGACTGGCTGAGTGCTGGGGGGTGGGGGATGACAGCTCCAAGTCCCCCAGAGGAGCTGGGAGTTCCGAATGGGCTAGGTCAGAGGAAGTCAGACCATCAGACCCCCATTCACTGCCTCTGCAGGTTGAGCTGAAGACCCACGCCACACTTTATCTGGCCATGCTCTTTGCAACACCTGTGTGCTTAAAAACATGTACAGCACACACGCCATTCATGTGCTCCTATGCTGTATACACGCGCATACACACATGCGTTCACATATGTTTGCTTTCTTTTTTAGATAAACCAAGTACTCTTCATTATGTTGAGCATGCAACTGGGAGAAAGTCTTTTACTGATGCAAATGACTTTTTTAAAAAATTTTTATTAGTGAAACACCATGAGGTACAGTTGTAGGCTTAAAATTTTTTTGTGCTTGGGTTTCAATTATACAATGTTCGAGTACCCATCCCTCCACCAGTGCCCATTCTCCACCACCAATGCTCCCAGTATCCCTCCCACCCCCTATCCCCCCATCCCCCCTGCCTGTGTGGCAGGGCATTCCCTTTTGTTCTCTCTCTCCTTTTGGGTGCTGTGGTTGATGCAAATTACTTTTATTTTAACCATTACTACCGAGTTTTTAAGAAAATATAGCCACTCCCCCTAGTTTTTGGTGGAACTGGGGATAAAACCCAGTTTTATCTGACACATACACAGCAAGGGTTCTACCTCTGAGCCCCAA